CTCATGTTAACCACTCGCCACTCACCGATCACTCCAGCTCATGTGAACCACTCACCACTCACCGATCACTCCAGCTCATGTGAACCACTCACCACTCACCGATCACTCCAGCTCATGTGAACCACTCACCACTCACCGATCACTCCAGCTCATGTGAACCACTCACCACTCACCGATCACTCCAGCTCATGTGAACCACTCACCACTCACCGATCACTCCAGCTCATGTGAACCGCTCGCATGTTTTTCGCCGGTCTAAGGAGGAAGAGCTCAGCGAGGACGAGGAGGAAGAGGAGGAGGAGGAAGAAGAGGAGGAGGAGGAGTCGATGAGCGAGGAGTACGAGGAGGCTTCTCCCCTGGCGCCGCCGTGCAGGAGGCGCACCTCCTCCTCGGTGCGCTCCGGCTCAGCCTCGTCCGTCGACGCGGAGAGCGGCAGCGGCGGCGAGAGTCCGGCGCGGGGCCGCCGCGCCGCACACAAGCGCAGGCGTCGCGGCAAGGACGACAGCGACGACAGCGACTCCGGTACGTCGCCGCCAGGGGGCGGATCATTGTCATTAGCGAATGCAGGCGGTTGACGTGCGATCAGACGGAAGGCGGGTCAGGGGGGCATGTTAGTCGCATTGCTTACATACACTGATATCACGCTAGATTCTGCTAGAGTTTTGCGATAAATGTTCACCTGTGCTTGGGCGATTTCATTATCCATCCACTATTTGGGAATTTGGATTAATTGCCAGGGTGGCACGTTAAACACACTAGTACACGCGAGTCAGCATTCATACGAGGATGGGGCGATGGCGATACAAGCATAGCTGCTTACTTGCGTGCGCTAATGCACATTGCTGTCATTACAACTGCACTTTTGCAAGACATTTTCACCTTTTATGCTAAAACCATTGCATAAGTGCAAGACTCAGATAATAACATGTACTTTTTAACAAAAGAACATCTAAAGACCTTTATTTTCAAGTGCCAAATATTGCTGCATAATGTCTGTCTATCTGTTACTTCCACGTATCGTTACTTGCATGCATTGTTACTTGCACGTCTTCGTCGTTACGATGTGTTTGCGTTATCACTCGTCTGCCACAACAGGTCGCAGCGACGCGAGCGCAGAGGGTGCGTCGACGAGAAAGACGCGGAAGCGGGCGCACAAGCGAGCGCGCGACCAGCGAGGCAACAAGGATGCGGCCGACGACGACATCGTGCAGTCGGACGCACTCGCTCCGCCGCCGTCGCCGGCGCACGTTCCTGCAAAAGAGGGCGCTACCATCGGCATCAGCACGCCCGTCATCACGGTGAACACGTCGCCGAAGCGAGCGTTGGCGGCCCCTGGCGGCAAGGAGGGGAGCGACGCAGCGGCGACGGAGATGCCCCCACCACCAGGGGGTGTCGTTGCCGCGCGGCTTGAGGAGGCAGGTCCTCCCACGGCTGCAGACGCTGCGGAGAAGCCGGCGGGCGTGGAGAGATCTCGCGGGGAGGGCTCGCAGGAGAGCAAGGATGAGGGAGGATGCGCGGTGACGCGACGCGAGGAGGAGGAGGTGGAGGAGGAGGTGTACGACTGCAGGGCGCGGCTAAACATCCTCGCTGAGATGGAGGCTGCGGAGAGGCTACAGCATCAGAGGTGCGTGCGTGCGTGCGTGCGTGCGTGCGTGTGAGTGTGTGTGCGTGCACATGTGAGTGCGTATGTGTGCGTGTGTGTGCGTGAGTGTGTGTGCGTGCGTGTGTGTGTGAGTGTACCTGTGCGTGTGTGTGTGCATGCCTGTGTGCATGTGTATGTGCGTTTTGTTTCAATACACTCTTAATTATTTGCCTTTTTACTAGCTATACGATTGTACCGTTCGGTTTTGTACACATACGAAATTTGCAAAGATCTCTGAAAATGCTCACTCGATGATCTGGGCTTGTCATCACACTATAAATTAATACAGTGATGTCTTAATTGCAACCCAAACACTGAGCATGAGGCTAACTTGGCTTCCTTCCCTCCAGTATGGCTACTGCTGGAATATAAATGAAGGTTCAAACTATCAAAAATAATGTATAAAGCAGTGTTATAAATAAGTCTGCAACCTTTAGCAACCCGGCGTAAATCGCCTGATGACCGAATTTTGGGTCACCGTAACATACAGACTAGAACACTAGCGGCACACGGCTTATGCGCCACCACGCCGACAGAGTCTATTCGCCACGTTATCAGTTAATGCCGCCGGTTTAATCGATCTCGATAGATCAATAATTGATGTGTAATCGGTGACGACGTGCGGTATACTTGCAGCGGTGGCGGGATGCGAGACATTCTCAGCGCGGACGACGGCAGCTGTGCAAGCTCCCGCGCCAGCATCAAGTCTGACAAGAACATGGCCGACTTTGATGGAGAGGAGGCGGCGTCGGGCGTTGACGATGAGATGGCGGCGGCGGCGGCGGCGGCGGCGGCGGAGCTGACAGACCTGCGGGGCGACGCGGCCGCCGCCGCCGCGTATGACGCGTGCCACATGCAGCATCTCGCCAGCGTGGTGTCGCTCTACCAGCGGCCGCACCGGCAGCCGACGCGTAAGCACCCGTCCGTGGTCATGGTGATGGTGTTGTTGTTGTTGTTGTTGTTGTTGTTGTTGTTATTTGTTGTTGTTGTTATTTGTTGTTGTTGTTAT